CACTTCCCTCCCTTCCCCCCCCCCCCCCCCGCATCCCCCTCCTGTTCTGAAATGTGATTTGTCCTTTTCATATGTGTTCGTTTTTTTTAATTGGATCCTTTGGTATATATGGTTGTGACCATTTTCTTCCACTATTTGATCTGAGGAAGTGGGTCTGGCCCACGAAAGCTCATCATCTAATAAACCATCTTGTTAGTCTTTAAAGTGCTACATTGTCCTGCAATTATCTTTCATGGGTGTGGCTAAGCTTCCTGCAGTCCCATAAAGTTTATTTACAGCCATCAGTCCTTGCTCTCAATGTTCTGTGCCATTATTTAGCTCTAATTTGCCCCTAAAAGTCCTCTGACAGCCCAGTAAGCAGTGGGAGTGTTGGTAATGCAGCTAGACAATACTGACCTCCCCTCATTTGGAAAATTCTCTCATTAGGAACTAGTCAGGTTCCAAGGGTGCCGGATTAGAGAGGTTCAACCTGTATTAGCTAAAGATACAACTCAATCATTGCCCCAGACCTGATAAAAATCTCTAGCTCAAGTTAAATGGTGTTTTAAACTCATGCTAAGTCAGGGCTACTCAACAGGCGGCACATGGCCCGTTTGTTTGTGGCCTGCAGTGCAGTTTCAGTTTACGTGGGGCTCAACACCTGGCCGGCAGCTGGGAGCCAAAACAAAAAAAAGGTCAATATAATGGTTTTCTGTTAATATGTGTTTTTATACTTAAATTCTTGGACTGTAATTGCTCGTTAAAAGTGCTGTCATATGGATGGAAATCGGGTAAATACTGTATTTTATTAATATCACCAGAACGTACTTAAATGAGGCCTGTGTGTTCAGGGTCGTCCCTAGACTAGCTGCGAGCAACTGGGGCCCTAGGCAAACCATGCAATTGGCGCCCCCACCTCCAAACCCCTCAATGATATTGCGCCACCATTTGGCACCCTAGGCAACCGCCTAGTTCGCCTATATGGACGGGCCGCCCATGTGTGTTGTGTAGTCTTGCCTTAATCTTTGTATTCATGCCCATCAGTGTGAAATAAGCTCTTTGCATACATTTGCATATATATATTTGCATGTATTTGCAACCACATGTAAGTTGCGGCCCTTGGCATGTGCTGTGAAATCTCTGCGCCAATGATTTAGGCGGAGACTGTTTTCTCAAGGAGGGCTGGTTATGGGGCACAGAGGAACTCCTCTTTTTGGGTGCCTTCTTGCCCTGAAGTGAGCCTGGGGATGAATGTACCTCCCTAGGCTGTCTTCCCAGGTCAGAAGCTGGGTGTGCCTTCTTTTCCATAAGGGTGAGTTTGAGGCCATGAGCCCAGTCCCTATGAGTTCTGGCCTTAAGTTTGGCACAGTGGGGACACTCTTGCGAGGAACAGTGTTCTCCTAGAATACGTGCCCCTATGGGTATAAAAGATGGGCCCAGCAGCACACTCACTCTGAGCGTCAATCTACCATCTATCTGCTGGTCGGATTAGGTGATTGGCCTCCCGAGGTTCCACAGGGACACCCACCTCGTATTCGTCTTTCCTAGGAATTGAGGGACCAGCCCTGGCTTGACCCGTTGGATTTGAGAGGCACAGAAGGGGGTAAAAATTGTACCTGTATGTGTCCTTTGTTTAAGTATATACATAGAATTAGAGCTCTTTAGAGATTAAGCTGTCACTTGGTACCATTACTGTTCTTATTTTCTATCTTTATTTTCTTTGTAACCACTTTTAAGATCTATATTTGCTAGCAGTTAAGAAATAGAACAATAGCCATTGTAACCATATGATTTATAAGCTTCTTTAATAAACCTGTAACTGTTTAAGCTTTAACCTGACTCCTTCAGTTGCTGTAACAGAACCAGACGCAATTAAAAGAATTCCAGCCGGTAATAGGGCAGACACAGCGAGGGAGAGCTGGGCGTTTGGGTCCTGTTGCCTCCACAGGACAGACCCTTTGGGGTATCTGTCAGCCTTCCCTAGGCTGCCCTCTGTGAAGGGACCCCGGTCCTAGCAGCTAAAGACACGGATGAAATGAGCTCTCCCTGCACACCCTTGGGGCATCCGTCAGCCTTCTCTAGGCTGCCCGCTGTGTAGGGACCCTGGTCCTAGCAGTTGAAGACTCGGGTGTAAAACTTTAGGGCGCCCATCAGCCTTTCCTAGGCTGCCCGCTGCAAAGGGATCTCGATCTTAGCAGTTGAAGACTTGGGCGTATAACACAAACGCACACACACACGTACCACACACTGCCCTGACCATTGGCTGACACCAGTCGATTGTGAAGCGTTCGGGACCCCCCTCTTATCCCCCACCCCGAAGAAGCCCCACTATCCACCTCCAGCAACGAGGGAGGTACTGCCAGCTTCCTGCAGGGTGGATGGAAGTCCAGAAGCTGTGCACAACTTCTGGGGTTTTAGGAAGTGCACAAGCTGCTCCCCCTCCCCCAAACAGCCAGAGCGGTACCACAAAGCAGGTCTGTGGTGCGCCGGGGACACTCTGTGTGGAGGGAGGTAGGAGTCCCCACACCGAGGGGGAGGGAGGTTTAGAAGTCCCATTAAGAGGCGCATGCCCAGGCTTCCCTCCTCTACAGGCGGGAGGGGGAAGGAATCCCCAGAGGAGGCGCACGCTGGGGCTTCCCTCCTCCACATGGGCAGGGGGTTAGAAGTCCTGAGAAGAGGCGCGCGACCAGACTTCTCTCCTCTGGGGGGGAGGAGTCCCCAGGGGAGGTGCGTGCTGGGGACTCCCTGTCCCCTTCAGCAGAACTGACACCCCGTCCCCTTTAGCAGAACTGACACCCTGTCCCCTGCAGCAGAACCCATTGACACCCTGTCCCCTGACCCTTGTCCCCACTGGCACCCTGTCCCCTGCCCCAGCACCCACTAACACCCTTCCCCAGTACCATGTCCTCTGCTCCCACCACCACAGTTGGGGCCACATTAGTGAGATGGGGGGGGAGGGTTAGAGGAGTTATTTTTTTGCATCTCACTTGTGTTGCCTCAACTGACTTTTCTGTGGATCA